CACACACACACACACACACACACACACACACACACACACACACACACACACATCATCCAAACATATTCCAAACTATTTTTACTGAGTTGCTTTAACATTATGTTCAGAGTAACGGTCATCCATCCATGTTTCCTGTCTCTGGTAGATGATTGCACCAGGTTTTACCTTAATCTATCATTCCTTCAATGCTGAAAAAAAAATTTCCAGGCCTTTTCAAATTATATTCCAGCAGGATGACGCTGCCAACATCCATGTTTTTGTCAGGGAGATGCTGATTAGCTTTGTTGGGTTTGAACATACAGCACACTAATAAAGGGGTTGAACAAAAGCAATAAGTTTCATTTCAGAGAAATCCTCCTTCCAGAAAAGAAAAAGGGCTCATGTTGTGTCTTTTGCCCAACTCTTCCTCCCTGCCTTGAGTCCAATCATCTGTTTTGGTTATTAAAACTYTTGTCAAGCATGGCCTTCAGGGACAGCATCCAGAACTGGTCCTATCTTTCTCTCTCTCTCTCTCTCTCTCTGGCTCTTATCTCCTCAGTGTGTCCTTCACGGGGGATATAAAGATGCGAGCAGGTCTTCTGACTCTCTGCTGTCACTGCTGAAGACAGACGACATGCTGCATGCTGTTGTAAAGCTCTGCTGTGGGATCTCCTACCCGCACCTCAGGAGAGCGGCAGGTAAACAATCTGACGAGGAGCTTTCTCTTCCCGTGTAGCAGATGTCAGATGGGATTTTTTTTTGTCTTTCAATCGTGCAGGACTTCAGCACCCAGCTGCCGCAGTGATAGGCCAGGAGATCTCACACCAGAAGCAGTGGGGACACATCCAACATCCCATGGCAACGCGTGCAGGTGAGGAAACACAATCCTGATTACGTTTACAACAGGTTTTTTGAGYTTTTACTAAGAGGAGTTGCTTGCAGAGCCTAAAGAAGAAAATGCCAGACCTGCGAACAAAGATGAGCTGTTCTACGTTCAACGTGGCCGAGAAGCAATGATGAAGGCTGTCAGTGTGCTGGAGGATGGAGACGGCTGGGAGGTGGAGATCAAAGAGGTAACAGTTTATGCTCATTTGTGTCTTTCATCTTTCATTCTTTGTTAAAGAAATTGGACCTAAATGTAACCACTACAATAATGTGTGTGTTTCTCCTCTTCAGRAAAATGGGGATGAGATCTGCAGCAAAGTGATCCCAGGGTCTGGGAAGGTGTTCAGGTTGGAGGCGGTCTTGGAGGCCAGTGTGGATGAACTCTATGACCTGTTGTTTGTCAGAGTTGAAGAGATGCCCAAGTGGAACCCAAGTGTGCAACATATCAAAGTGAGCTAAGAACCTTTAAACAAGTTAGATGATAATTGGAACACCCAATTTTCTGGTTGGGCTTTGCTCTTCTTTTCTTAAATTGGCACCGTTAGAAGTAATTAACGACTCTGAGCTTCTCAGTTGATTTTTGAGCGTAAAAATTCCAATTTGTGTTTCTTGCAGGTTCTGACGCGAGTCGGACCTGATACTGTCTTGATGCACGAGGTTTCAGCTGGGACGGTGGGGAATCTGATTGGTCAGAGGGATTTCCTGAGCGTCCGACACAGCTGCAGGCAAAAATCTGGCGTTTATCTTGGAGGAGTTGCCGTTCAGCTGGCGTCGTTCCCACCTCAGGCGGGCTTTGTGAGGTATGGGATCACCTGCAGAGCTGACAGATCTGAACAAACATCTCAAGTCTTATCATTCAGTGCTGAAATACTCCTTAAATATCTCATGAACACCTGGACAGATTTACCCATCTACAACTTGTTCACTTTTAGAGTTACGATAGCCTCTATAGCCAAGTGACGTCATCAAATGCAAAAATGACTAACTGATAATAAGCTACAATTTGATAACACATACTATGTTAGCTAAAACATCTCACAATACACAGTTTTCTGTGACATAATACAAAGACACAATACATATAATTTTGAAGTAAAGTAACTATAACTCCAACATTTCTCAACATAAGATGATCTTACTGTGGTAGTTTGAGTAAGAGAACGTAAGAAATATGTAAAGAAACAGACAATAGTTCACAAGTCATGTTAAAACCTTTTTTAACACCAAGTTTAATGATTTTTWAAAAAAAACTCCACAGAGCTGAGGATGGGCCAAACTGCATCGTCATTCAGCCTCTGGACAAGGACACGACAAAAAGCAGCTTCACGTGGCTTCTGAACATGGACGTAAAGGTAACTTCACAGCTATTTTCCTTTAGTCACAAATAACATGAAAAGTCCTTTCTATCAAGGAACATGTTTGCATCAGWACCGAACATTATTATCCAACAGCAAACATGGACAATGCCCACCAGGTGCAGCAAACAACTAATACGCAACAGAAATGCTGTTTCAGTTGAGAAGAATGCTGAAATGATAAGGGTTTTGCTTTGGATAAGGCAAATTTAATTTAGGATGTTTCAGGGGGGGGGGCTCATTTGAAACCTGACGAGTAAACTTTAAGGACCCAGTTCACATTTTCCCACAACAAAACCTAGGGAAACTCAAATCATGTGGATGTGGAATGCACATTTTAGAGATAAGAAGTAGCTACACGGTATCATATCTGAGTCTGCTGGTGACTGAGATATGGGATCAGATGAGAAGAGGCCAAGGATTCTGGAGGGAGGAGTAAAACTGAGTTAGTGTTGATTTGAAGCTGAGTAATAAAAAATAAATTCCAACTAGTTGGCATGATACACTGTTATTTTACTGCCTTTAAATGTGATTCAGGAAGGAAGTGATCCACAAAACAGTCCACGGTCGTAACAGAGAACTTTCTTCGCAGGGCTGGCTGCCAAAGTCCATTGTCAATCAGACTCTGCCTCGAGTCCAGCTGGACTTCACACACCACCTCCGCAGACATCTCAGCCTCAGATGAACTGAGTCTTCCTGACGGCCTCGCCACAGCAGCACCTTGTCATCGCTCTCAGAGGAAGAACGGTGACAGACTGGCTGCACGGCACAGGGCAAAGAAACACCGCCCCGGATGAGATGCTCAGCTTAAAGGGAGATCCAGCCGAGACCAGTGCCAGCCTGGCAGCAGGAAGCTGGCTTACAATAGGAATTAATGTCACATTGCACCACTTAAACCTCATCAAGAGTTCCTATTTAATAAGAGTCATCTCTTGTCTCTTGATACATGACACCCTGTTTATAATAAAGTGCTTAAATGTGCTGAAATCGACTGATTTATTTTACTCCGTGTTCATTAGAATAGCTTGACTACAGTACATGTGGCTTCTTTTAATTAAAATACAGCAAATTTGAAGAAAAACTAATCTAATCAGAGTTCTGCACTGAAAGAAGGATACCAAATTTAAATATAAAAGCAGCTCAATGGAGGGCAGAGAAATGATAAGAACCTTTGCTTTTTTTTCAAAAGTATTTTACTTTGCTCACCATACAATTTAGAAATTCAATAAATATCATCATTTAAAGCTTTCATTCATGTCCGTATATACAAGAACTATACAATGAACATAATGAAACTCTTTAACAGGAAGCAGAAACTGTGGAACAGAACAGTCAAAATCGGGTTTTAGGCTTATACTTTTTCTTTCCAACCTCAACTTTCATAACTTCAAATTTATACTATATACATGATCTCTTGGTTAGGTTAGGGTTAGTTAGGGCTTAGTTAGTTAGTTAGTTAACTAACCCTAACTAAACCCTAAGTTGCAAAAGTACCCTAAAGTGTTTTTCTTTTAATTCTTCTTTTTTCTTCCAGTTTTTAAAACATTCGGTGACAAACATTGACAAAAAAGACAAAGGTTGTGCTACAGTACATAAGGGGTTGGCTTGCAAACAGGCTTAATTTCTTTATTTACCAGTGAGGATATYCACTGTTGTGTTAGGAGTTTGAGAATATAAAAAAAGAGCACCAGAGACAGAGAAGCTATAAAGCTCCCTGCCAGGAGCGATGACCATTAAARCCATCAGTGTGCCACTAAACAAGATTACAGACTTTATAAGTGCCTGGGTGTAATCAATTACAAACTGTTGCAGGAAGACGTATTAACACAGTTTGGATGAGGAGGACCGTATCAAATCTTGTTGCATCTGCTTGAACACTTGGCTGACTGAGAAGGAAAACAAGACTGCTCTTTAGTTYGTCACTGAAGCAAGCTGCCATCTGGTTTTGCTGAGCATTAAAGCTGGAGGTATGGGAGCGAAAAAGGTATAATTGTACTGCAGTCTCACAATTAACTGGCTAAGAAAAAAAGAACAAGTAGCTGTGAACACAATATTGTTAATAAACAAAGTAGACAGCAATAAAGAGTTCGTCTTTGCGTTGTTGATGTGAGTCAACCAGGCCCTTCTGTGGGATTTAAGGTTTGTTTTTGGTGTCACTTTGCTTGCGTGCTTTTATTTTGAAATGTGAGAGCCAATTTTTATATAGTTCTTGCAAGTAAAATAATGGGAGTAACAAAATAAGTTGAATTGTTGAGTTAAATTTAGCATAATTTAGCATTTAAATTCTTCTGCAATGAACTGGTCCGAAATCCTCCCTGTTGTAACTCCACAAGCCCCTCTTTCACCCCGTTCTGAGGTGTCTCAGATCAGCTCGTTTTGAGGCTGTCTTTTTAAATCCAAATGAGGCGCTTCACACCCAGCCCTCCTCCAGCTTCCAGACCGGTCCATTCTACTTTAATAGAGGGGTTTATGACTACATAACGACACAGACATTTTTTTTATTTATAAACCTGTCCATCCAACCTTACATGTTGGAGGCAGGGTCGGACCCAGAGCCAGAGGAGAAGGACGACGACCAAATTAGTTAGTTGATAAGTTTAGACCTTATTTAGAGGTTTTGTCACAAAAACTATGATGTAATAGTTCAGAAAACAACACAGCAAATAGAGAAAACTGGACGGGTTGAAAAATATGATCCAAACAGAATATAAAGCTATCTACGCAGCACCGGGAGAAACTAAATCCAACAGTATGTTGAATAAGTAGTATATGTACACAACTAAATATATTTAAGGGATAAAAAAGTAGATTTTGCATGATGTGTCCTCTTTAATGTTTGTAATTAAAGCGTTCAGCAGAGTTATTAAACTAAAGAAGGTCAGAAACTGGTCTGGCGGCACACTGACGAGTGTTTAGCGATCACCTCCATGTTCACAATCCAAGTTCAATAGTAGTTCTAATGCACTTAGAAAAACAGGCTTACACAACTGTACATAGATAAAAAAAAGAAAATGAATGTAGCTATGCAGTCATCACATTTTGAACACATATCATAGTCTGTTTTAGTTTACAGCACCTTTGTTTTGACAACTTCTGTTTCATATTTTAAGCACACGTAACGCTCCGGAGCTTTGACGAGGTAATCATCACTGGGCTTGTCTAGGTTCACTGGCATGGACAAAACATACAAAAAAAAAATATAATAAAATCTGCAAAAGAACAGAGGAGCAAGTTGATTTTTGAGACACGATGCACTCCACGAGACTTGCTCACTGTTCAGTTCTGAGCTGAGGCGGTTCTGTGACTTGTGTCCCTCTCGGATCTTAAATAGTCCCTTCTTGACCTGGCAGCAGCAGGGCCTAAAGTGCTCTTTGAACGGTGCTCTTTGGGTGCGCCTCCTTCAGAGTCTGCTGTGGGCCGCGATGGCCCTGGAGGTAGACGAGTCTCCACGTGGGAATCTCTCCTCTCAAGGGTCGGATCGGAGTGGCTGGTTGGATGTAGGAGCTGAACAGTTTCGGTTGGTGATGGAGTCTGGACCGCGGCAGCTGTGGTTGGCAAGAAGGCGGTGGAGAACAGCCGTCGTCTCGTGGCTTTAGTGGTTTGGGGCAGAGTCTGGGCTGTGGTAGCTAACCACGAAGCTTTGGATGAAGCAGCACGAACTGTTTTGTGGACATCTGGAACATCTGTGGTAAAATCTTCCCTCTTGTTGCACGACTCACAGCAAAGTTTATAATAACCAGGGATGGAGCAGTAACGAGCAAGGACCTCCATCTGGCAGAAAATCGATTTATCCCCCAAACATGGCTCATCTAGTAACAACAGAAGGCAGAACATGGCATCATTAAAACATCAATTTTTAGCTTTACGTCAGCAGTTTTTTTTTTACTTCCTTTTTGCAACATATTACAAATCATCTTACTGGAAGAGATTTTCTGGACTGGATTTTCAGGAACCTTCTCATATACTGCTTCATCGTTCATTGTGGAGTTCTCAGTTTGGACAGTGAGGGAGGAAAGTTCTAACCCTGAGGAGTACAACGAAGAGARAAAAAGATGAAAATATTTGTCAAAGTTCTAACTTAGTCAAGACCACCTGACCTGAGACCAAGTCGAGACCGAGACAGAGTAATGAGATTGGATTCGAATCAACATGTTTTAAATCCAATGAAAGCAAAGATGTTAACAAATAAATAAGACAATACTCTGGTGGTTTAGTGGTATTTCCACAGCTGTGTTCTTGACTGGTCGTGGAATAAAATCCCAAGTCCTCAATGGCCGAGAGCAAGACCAAATGTGGTCGAGTCCAAGACAAGACCAAAGCTGTCATAAAGTAATCATAAGACAACAACACTGGTTCTAACAACCTGTTTTCCCCGCTAAAAGATGATTATTTTTTATTTTTGAAGCCATAAAAAAGTCAAAGTACAGCCTAGATTACATCTTTGTGTTTTCAACGATAAAAAAAGAAACTCGATTATTTCTCACCAGTCCAGAGAAACAAGAAAAAATGTTCACTTTGATTTCTTTGAAAGGCAACACAACAAAACCTGCAGGASATCATTACTGGTGGAAAGCTTTGACGCAAGGGCTTAAATATCCTGTATGATTATTATTTTTTYCCTGCCTATTGAATATTTTAAAACCCAAGAGCATTTTGACAACTGAAGAGAGTCATTGTGTAAACAGAAAACCACATTCAGAAACAGGGCTTTCTGTACATTTCAACAAATACAGCTAAAACAGGCGCCTCTCACTTCAACAACAGCAGAGTTCCTGTTAATCGGAGCGCTTGTAGCTTTGATGACTTTATTTGTAGATCGTTAATWCCTGAACAAACCTGGGTTCATCTCAGTGCTGTAAAATATGCTATACCTTCTCTACTTTCTCACTTAGTCATCTTACACTTCAGTTTCACACAACAAGGATGTGAAAAAGATGAGAGTATAGATCACACATGGCAAACTCGAGGCCTGCGGGCCATATCTGGCACTCGTTATCATTTTATCCGGCCCCAAAAATCAAACCAAGAAGATGAATGTTTCAGTA